CCTCTCTTTTGGTAGGGGCAAGAATTGTTCCCATTGGTTCAATTTTTGTAGCAGAAGGGATGACCACACCCCCAGCGATATGTTGAACACACCCCTTTTAGCAGGTACACGACCGTTTCTTCCTATGCTTAAGAGTTAAAAGCTTTTTGATCCTCTTTAAATATAAGACTGGTCCTTTGGTGTTTTTGGCCGACATGTGTCGTCAAGTACTTCTATTGCTAGTGGGTGTGCTAAGCATATTCTCAAGAGTGCTAAAAGGTTACCTCAGGGGATTATCAAGTATCCCGACGACTATCTAAGTAACCACGTACAAAAGGTTGGGTCGGGGATTTCAGGTACCCGCCCAGGTGTTAGAAATTATTTTTAAATATTATTAATTATCATTAGGCTATGTTCAATACATAGCAGCTCCCTCATTAACCTCTTTTAAACACCTATTTTTGAAGCTCTGGAACCATTGTATTGCACATTGTTCCTTCAATCAGCAAAAAGAGCGAATTATCATTCACTAGCTCATTTAAACTCTTTTTTCTTTAACATAGATTCATTTGGGGAGGGGGGAGGAAAATGATAATATTAATACGATAAAATATAAAGAAAATGTATTCTTAACTTTTCTTCAACTCCACCTTATCCTTAGAAATGGCAACATAACTAAGTGGGACAGACAGAGCTACATCAATCGTATCGATTGGGGAAGGTGGCATTGTCCTATTGTTACCTGTTCCATTGTACATATATTACTCTATAACAGTAATCATTAAAGATAAATAATTATATTTATAAAGAAAAGTAATAAACACCAGAACATATTAACTCAAAAAAGTTAAGAATGTAATGCACAAATGATTTCACAATGGTTTATTATTTTCAAACAATTATACATCTAAAATAACATTACCTTCCTAGTAACAAAGAAAAAGAAATAGAAGGTTAATAGTTAGCACGTGCGAATAATTCGCAGAAAATTTTGTTTAGTGAAGAAATAGGAAAACAATATGGAAATAAGTAGTTGCTATTTGTTATGTAAGGAATGAATTAATAGTTTTTCCTTAGTAAATTACAATATTCCATTAAACATAATATAGACAAAAATATAAGTACAAATTGCTTTGCTAGGACCTATTTTTAAACGCTGATTGGAAAGATAATAAAAGTAATACAGATAAAATAACGCCCCGATCATGAGATTTTCTAAATTATTAAAAAAAATAAAATGTAAGAACAACCAAATGTCTAAGAAATAATAAAGTTAATATATCAGCCAGGAAAAAAATTTAGTAGACTATTCTACTCCTAAATACAATGCCTTTAAACAGGAAGACATTATTGAGTATACCAAAACTAATGGACTGTATCTTTGTTAATAATTGTCCGTTTTTTACGATTTTTTTTTTAATATTGTAGGTAATTTAGCAAGAAAAAAATGCATACTTTATAGTTATTCCCAAATAAAGTTTCTTTCCTTTCATAACTTTTTTCTCAGGAATTTCGGATGATGTGACTATTTTTCGCATGTGAAGGAGAAGAATATCATTAAAATGAGTGATCAATCATTGGATTTGATGAAGAATTGACGAAGTTATGGCGTACCGACAAAAAAAAACACCTTTTGGAAATAATATATAGGATCTCTATTATTGGCCCAAACAACTTTTTTTTCACCATAAGTAAATTTTATTTATTTTTTTAAAACTTTTATTATGATATTTACAACTGTATTAGTATGAATACATCAAGTAAATGTGTACAGAGAAATATTATCACATGAAACACGCTTGTTGAGAAACTACACACTGGTAGCACTCTAATAATTTGTCTACATTACAAGATCACGAGGCCATCTTCTTTTCAGACGCCTCAATACATTCAAGCTGATTTGGATTAAGGATATTAGGATGTGGATTAAAAGTTTTGAAGAGGTGATGAGCAAAAATTTGGGTATTTTCTTCATCAGATTTGGACCAAGTTTGAGCTTCAGTAAGAAGTGGATGACTAAAGTCTTTAAATTTCAGGAGCCGTTTAGTCGTCGTTCACAGTGGTTTGTCGGTAGGTGTAAGTTTTTCAGTAAAATTTAGTAAATTTTGAATTTTGTATTTTCTAATTTCTGATTTTAGTTTGTTAGTCAGTTGGGTATAATGAGTTTTATCTGTTGGATATCTAGTTCTATGCCACTTCGATCTTGCTCTGCGTTTTTCCTTTAATAAGATACAAATATGCTGCGGCAAGTTAGTCTTTTGTAAATTGTTAATCTTACTGTTAAAGGTGTTACTGTTTATACTGTCTGTTATTGATGTTGTAAGTTTTTCGATGGCACCATTTAAGTAAATTTAAAAAGAAAAAAAAAGCATTACTTTAGTAACACTTTAAAAATCAAAAACCAAAACAAACGATATAACCTTAGCAGTGTAACATATACAAAATATAGATAACATATCTTTGCTCCAAATTGTCCGATTTTAACGAATTTTTTTTTTTTTTGTATCTTCGGAAATTTCGGAAAATTTTAAATAACCATACAATATAGAGAAAATAGAATAAAACATTATCTATTAATACCTAAGCTGAAATATATCACATTATACAGTTTATTCTGTTACTGTGAGTTTTAATCGTAACCGCCTCTTGAGCTATCTACATATAGAAACTTACATTGTATCCACTGATATTTCATTAATGTTAACATTTCATGTCAAACGGCGATATATTCGCTTAAGATAGTGAAATTTTACATAAAAGATTCGTTGACCCCTAAAAGGAGAGGCAGTTCTTCTTTTGAGGTCTATGACAAAGGAACTCTTGAGACCCTGAGATCGGACGATAAACGGTTCAGGGCCCGAGGGAAGTTTCAAATTCTGCAATACCAAAAATATAACTACATGCGTATAGTTATAATGAAAATATAATATTATTTATGTTAACGATATAAATAAAGAATAATATAAAAAAAGTATCAGAATTATTTACCTACTTCATCCATTTATTTTGTACAAATCATATATGTTTAAATTTCACATTTTTTTTTATTATTAAAATTTACAACTGTATTAAATGATAAATACGAAACAATAGTAAGTAATACTAAGTAAATATGAAACAAGTAGCATTACATGTGCATCATGAAGAGAAACTATCCATTGGTAGCACTCCAATTATATTTCTACATTAGAAGATCCCGAGGACAGCTTCTTTTCAGACGCCTCGGAGGATAATCAGGAATAGAAGAGGAAGCAAGGTTAGAAACAAGAAGGTTTGGACGGTTCAGAAGTTTATTATGAAAGGATAGGTATCTGGATTGAGCTAAATCGAAAACATATGGTACATTAAGGTCGTTATGGATGATTTTATATGTGACAAAGTAAGGAGCATTGAGGATTTTACAAATGATTTTGGATTGTAACGATTGGATACGAGAGGAATTTTATGCTTTAGTAGAGTCCCAAAGCTCAACTTCATATAGGCTTTACTATAGTAATATATATGAGACTTTTGTAAATAGTTGGAAGTTTAGACCGTGCTGCAGCTGCAGTAATCAAAAACGTCGGGCGGTTTCAAGTCGTTTCAGTCTGGTATGAGGGTTACAAGTGAGTCATTTGTCCAGGCGGAGTATTAAGTATCAGATATGTTTAACAGGGATAAGTGGGGTATTGTTAAAGGATACTGTAGGACAGGAAGTCGTAGGCTTACGACGAAGAATAAAGGTGATTTGATGGGATTTATTTTAATCCTCCAGTTTTGACACTATTTTTCAAGACTTGTGATATGTGATTGAAGAGTTGGGGATGCAATAGATCGTTATTAACTGATAGGATACACGTGTCATCGGTATAGCTGGTGATGACAGTGTTGGAATGGGTTGGGATGTCAGCTGTATAGACTGTGTAAAGGATAGGACTTAGGATACTACCTTCAGGAACACCAGCAATCTGAGAAAAAAGATGAATAAGCATTGTTATGATATACTTTGAAGTATCTGTCTTTAATGTAGGAACGGATAGTGAGGAAGTATGTACATCAGTCCCAGATTCCAGACTCTATCAAACTCCTGTTCAACGTTGAGAACGACTCTCGTGCAGTACATTCCGCGCTCCAATGCAGAGGAGACTACGTCTATCACACGATGGCATAGCTGAATAGTGGAGTGGGATGTAAGGAATCCAAATTGGTGATCAGGGATAACGTGTTTAGAGTCTAGGATGGAACACAGGCGAAATTTCATATTTTACATCGATTTTTAGATTGCCATCGTATATCGATTAATTGTAACTTTTTCCATATGACTTCTTAGACATATGGAACATTAAGGTCTTTATGCATGATTTTATTTGTGAAGAAGTAACGAGCATGGAGGATTTTTGAATTATAAGAATTGGATACGAGAGGAATTCGATGGTTTAGTGGGACCCCAAACTTAAACGCCGTAAATCCAAATATACCTTATTATAACTTATATAATAATTAATTATTATAATTAGTTTGTAATCAATTGGAAGTATAGAGTATTTGTCAAACAAGCGTTAGAGAAATCGAAAACGTCGAGCGGTTTCTCGTCATTAAAGTATTTGAGGATTCCAAGTGAGACGTTTGTTCAAGTGGAGTCCTAGGTATCGGATTTGTTCAAGAGAAATAAGTGTGGTATTATTAAATGATATTGTAGGAAAGGAAGTCATAGATTTACAACGAACAGTTAATTTGATGTTTTTCGATAGTTTTGAATAAAATAATAAAGTAAAGAATATGTACACGAGATTATAAAATTGTAAAACAAATTTAAAAATTTTAAAAGAAATTCAAGAAAGTAGTTGTTAAACAAGGCAGCTGTCTGAAGTTATGTAGAAGGGGGGAATTCTCCCTCCCCTCCCGCCTTGAAACTTGCTGGTCTAAGTTACACCACATCTTCTTCAAGTTCAAGTTTGCTTTAAAATGAAATATGACTTATAGGAAGAAGAAGATGGAACAAGATAAAGCAAATAATAATAGAACTCATGGAAAACTATTAGTTAATGGAATTGTGAAACAGTTTCCAGAAGAGAACCTCGGGTCATAGGTTGACCTTTATCAACACCCGTTCTCTTCTCATCTGGAAGCCTTAATACAAAGGAACCACCACGTCTTATATAGTTCCTTCTGCACGTGCGAGCAAAGTAATAATAGAGGGTGTGGTCAGAAATAATATTAATTTCAAAATACAGAAACAAAAGTACACAAACGTAAAGTATATATACAAATATTGAAAAAAATATAGGAGTAGAAAAAAAATGATGGAAATACGCAAATACATACATGTTTTTTTTCCAATCTGCTTATGTTCTAATCTCTATCACTGAGCGAACACTAGTTTTTTTTTATCTATAAAAAGTGTATTTGCGCCTATCAAATTATTGTTGACACTCAGAAAATGTGGTGGCGAAACAGAAAATAATGATATGATAGGCATGAGAAAGGAAATTACTCAGCAGTACCTCTTCCCTAACTTGTTTCAATTACTTAGGTTATTTAAGGAAGGAGATCTCTCATCCAACGCCTTTTTAGTCTCCTATTCATGTTCTGAGGTATGTCAGCTGTGGCCATGTCTCTTATTGGTCTGTTATTATGTACGTTTAAATTCGTGTAAAATTGTTGATAAAGGGTCGTTATATGTTGGTCGACTGTTGGAAAATGGAGGTCAGTATGTAAAGTTTTGTTAGTCACGTACCCTAGGTGCTTTTGTTATGAGTCGTAATAATTTTGATTGGAAGTTTTTGTAGATAGGAATTTTTAGCGATGCCGTATATTTGTGATGAGTATGTCCATACAGGCTTAAGTAAGTACGTATATGTATTCAGTTTCTGTTTTAGTTTTAGTTTTGAAGATTTATAGAAAAAGAGAGTAAAGTAGTTTGAGTGGTTTGTTAAGTGTCTTACGTTTTATTTTAACATGCGGACCCATGTCTTTTCTGTCGAAGATGAGTCCAAGGTAAAGTACCGTGTCCGTTTAAGGAATATGATTGTTGTCAATATAAACTGGAGTGCAGGCGTTTTTTCGAAGAGTAAATGTTGTATATTTGGATTTGTCATGATTAAGTCGAATTTTCTATAGTGTGAACTAGTTATAAACCTTTAAATAATATTGATTAAGGATATTATTTAATATATTTGTTTCAATAGAAATTATTATTATTATTATACGATAAATAAGAAAAATCATTCGACGAGGAGGATAAAATTATAATCCGCTAGATTCAGTTCTATTTCAGAACCTTCTGGCAGAAGAGCCAATGCAGAAGTTACATCAATACGGAAGTAGAGTTGACCATCGGCGTTAGGGTTAGAATCGATAGGTGTAATTTGTTAAGTCGATAGCACACCATTGCCAACAACTACATCCGATAAAGGAGAGGAAATGAGGCAATGCTCCTGATGCCTAATATATAGAGACTCTTTTTTACTTACACTTTGAAACAAATTCTTGTTTCAAATTAAAATTCGATTTATAAGTATTTTAACAAATTATTTTTTTTAAAAACTTGTACATAGGAGCAGTATGGTTAGAGCAAGTTTGTATGCCTTTTATGAGGAAAAATAAAGATATGCATATTTAACGTAATAATGAACCAGAAACATGTCATTAGTATTATTGTATTAAATTGTTGTATACAAAAACTTTGTAAAGGGTGTTGATGTGATATAGTCCGTGTTACACATTACTTTTTATCGAATTATTACCATCCGCCTAAAACTTCGTAAATAGTTTCATCTCATCGTAAGCTACAACTATTTTATTTACGAAAACTCTTGGAATTCGGGCGTTTTCAATCTGGAGAGGGGCAAACTTTGTCAAATTAATTAGCTACTAAAAACTCGAATCTCGAAAATCGAGAAAAAAGGTGGCCTTCAAAAATATTGAGCCGTTTAGCTTGACCTACACCCCCAAAGTTTCCAAATAACGAGGATATATAGGAAAAACGGCCCAATATTTTTGTAGGCATATTTTTTCTAGATTTTATGATTAAATTATCTTAACGTCTATTCATCCCTTTTTTCCCAGTCCGCTGGTGTTCCTCAAGGTAGTACCCTAGGTCCTATCCTCTATACAGTTTATACAGCTGACATCCAAACCTGTCCCAACACTGTCATCACCACATATGCCGATGACACATATATCCTATCTGTTAATAATGATCCATCAACTGCATCCCAAACTCTCCAATCACACATCATAAATCTAGAAGAATGGTGTCAAAACTGGAGAATTAAAATAAACTCCAATAAATCCAACCAAATTACCTTTACCCTTCGTCGTAAACCAACAACATCCTGTCCTACAGTTTCCTTTAACAATACTCCACTTACCCCTGGTGAGCAAATCCGATACCTAGGACTCAACCTGGACAAACGACTAATTTGGAATCCTCATACCAGACTGAAACGACAAGAAACCGCTCGACGTTTCCGATTACTTCAGCACTTACTAGACAAACACTCTAAACTTCCCATCAATTACAAAAGACTCATATACCTGACTATAATAAGACCTATTTGGACTTACGGAGTTGAGCTATGGGGCTCCACTAAACCATCGAATTCCTCTCGCATCCAATCCTTACAATCCAAAATCCTTCGTAAAATCCTCAATGCTCCTTACTTTGTCACTAATAAAATTATCCATAAAGATCTTAATGTTCCTTATGTTTCAGATCTGGCCCAATCAAGATACCTATCCTTCCATAATAAACTTCAGAATCATCCCAACCCCCTGGTTTCTAACCTTGCTTCCTCTTCAATTCCTGATAACCCTCCGAGGCGTCTGAAAAGAAGATGGCTTCGGGATCTTCTAATATAGAACTTTAATTTGAGTTATACCAATGGGTAATTACTCAGCAAGTGTGTTCATGTCATTATATCAATTATGTCCAAATTTACTTGATGTATTTATGTAATACAGTTGTAAATGTCATAAAGAAATAAAAAAAAAATTATCTTACGATCAAAGCATAAAGCAAATGGGTATTTACGAGTTTTTACTACCTAATTAAATAGACAAAGTTTGCCGATCTCCGTATTGAAAACGCGTGTACGTGAACTGTATTAATAAAAAACTAAATACGGACGGCAATGATGATACCTCTAATAAGTTGCTGAAACTTCCGGCTGAAACTTCGTAAATAGCTTCATCTTATCGTAACCTACAAATATTTTATTTACGAAAATTATTTGAATTGGAGCGTTTTCTATCTTACGATCCAAGTTGAAAGCAAAGTACTATTTACGAGTTATAAGGTACTAAATACTCGTAAATATTCCTTTGCTTTCAATTTGGATTGTAAGATCATTTGATGACAAAATCGATAAAAGATGTGGCCTACAAAAATGATTGGCGTTTGCCCTATACCACCTTGTAATTAGGCCAATTTGGGAGTGTACATTACGCCAAATGGCTCAATATTTTTTAATGCCACCTTTTTTCTGGACCTTGTGCTCAAATTATCTTGCGATTCAAGTAGAAAGCGAACGGGTATTTACGAGTTTTTTAGGACCTAATTAAATAGACAAAGTTTGCCGACATCAAGATTGAAAACGCACCAATTCAGAGAATTTCCGTAAATAAAATAGTTGTATGTTACGATGAGGTGAGACTATTTACGAAGTTTCAGGCGGATGTAAATAATTCGATAAAAATTGGTCTGTACCATGGACTAATAATGTTCATGAAAGCAGAAGTCTAATTTTGAAGGTGGGAAGGGTTTTCCGAAACTCAAATCAGTATTTTAAATCAAAAATTATAGAAGCTAATAATTTTTTTTTGTAATTGTATAATTTTTTTATTGAGAAAAAATAAATGTATTTTGTCTCGTTTAAGGGCATTGAGTATTCGGGATGTATGAAACAATCATACCACATTTACAATAAAATAAAAACAATAGAAAGTTATAACAAAATAAAATGAAAGAAAACTTGGAATAACAAATTAGAAATGTCATTAGACCCTTCAAGTTATAGACATGACATCCTTCAAAATTTAATTTATGAATATATTTATTGTCCTGAAATTGAATTATGGAAGTTTCTATAATTAGACAAGAACAAAGATTTTCAAACTGTAATGAATAGAAACAGACATGTTTAAAATTACATGGGCGAATCATAGAGCAGGCTCTTTGCGAGCAAATATTTACACAAGACTCTCTCGAAATACTGAGGACGGGAATAGCGGAGTAACGAGGAGTTATAGCGTTCTAGAACACGTGCATGATCTAACATCCTCGCGAACTTCTTTTCGGGAAACATCTCGACGAGGAACTCGTTGAGGAGTATGCCCATTTGACAAGAGGGGGGAAAGTGTCCAGCAATTGAAATAGAAGGATAAGTAAAGCATCAGTGGGGGCAGGGTGGCCGAGCGAGCTAACGCGTGTGCACAGCAGTTGCCCAGAAACTTGAACAAAGATAAAATAAGTACGAGATCGCGTCCCGGTGGCGAAGGAATTTTAACTCTGGCATTAATTCCCCGCCCTTACCCCCTGGGGCGGGAAAAAAAACGTACAGGCTAAAAGCCGAGGAAGCGGAGAACCAGAAAAAAAAATAATAAATAAATAAAATAAAAAATAAAGCCTTAGGTTTTAAAAATAGAAAAAACTGTTTATTTATGACTAAATGTAGGTTGAATTCACACGATTCAAATGCAATTCATGATTCCAAAAAAAAAACTAAAAATATATAGCAGTAGAGCTCCTTTCAAAATGTTCAAAAAAAGAGCAGAAATCGTTGGGATATAAAGACATTTTGATAAAATCTATTCACACTTTTACAGAATTGCTTCGTCTATGAAAAAAACGTATATCGTTAGAATGTTATTTCATATAAATTAAAAAAGTGTAATAAGAAAACGAAAAAATACCGTCAGAAAAAAAATTGCTCCAAACTTAGTCATATTTTTTACTCTTGACCCTGCTAACATCTCGCGACATTTAAGTAAATTGATTCAAAATACTTTTTACACACAAATTATAAATTTGAATTTTCTGACTTTATTTACAGTTTTCAGAAAACTAAAAAAATTAGAGCTGACTCAATTTTTTTTTTTAATTTTTAAAATTACTTTAATAGGTTACTACAACCTTTACTAATTTATAAGTTTTTCTTTTACAATTACACATTCCACAATTAAAATATCGTTTATAGAAATATATCTATGTTTTTGACAAAGTTGGTAAAAATCATTTGTTAACCTAGGGTTTACGACCATACAAAAAAAAACTAAGGTGTGTACTTCAGACCACAAGATAGTAGCGAAAACATCAACAAGGCGAGATTAATAATATGAAATATTAATTATAAATAATAGCTCATAATAAAGAAGCTATAAAGTTGAATATTTCCTTTGCTTACAGAATGCAGGTCTGATTTTTAGTGTCTAAGATATTTTAACCCATATCTTCTATAAAACTCCATTGTTACCATTTGGTTTTCAATACTATCTTTTCCTTTTCGCATCTCAAACACGGCGTCACGTAAAGATACAATTGTAAATAATAGCCCAATATAGAGATGATAAAATGATGAACATTTTCCACGCCAACTACAATATGCAGGTCCGATTTTTAATTTTTGAAATATTTTAATCTATTTGCAAAAACACTTCAATTAGCCGACTCCAGGCGACTTTACCCGAGCGTTAACACATCAGAAATCTGACTGCTCAATATAATTCTTCATAAAAAAAAGTGAAAACGAGCCTAAAGAAGTTTTAAATTTAAATTCGAAATTAATTCAATGCAAAATTAAACAATCTATAATTTCTGAAAGAGTATTTTTTTGCTTAAATGCACCATCCAGGTTTTATTAACTGCAAAAAGTTCTCGGTTAGCCTGTGCAATCATTTTTTAATATATTTCCATCGATATATACAAGTTTTAAAAAAAAATCTAAACTTTTACCACAATTTTCGTAACATTCCTTCCGCATTGACCTCCTACTGTCTGGTTTAATATTTATTAAATCGATGGCTTTGGGAAGATTTTTATTTTTCTTCTTATAATAACATACACTTCTACACATTATTACCCCTTCTAAGGGTACGCTTTTTAGGTCCTGCCTTCAAGAATTTTATTAGTTTTAAGCGAGTTTTAAATAAATGCCATGGTATAAATAATATAGTATAAAAATAAATAATATGAAATAAAAAATATATGTTGATGTTCCAATTTAAAAATAAATAATAACAAAACGTTTCTATACCATTATGAAAAACATCGACATTTTTATCATTACAACACATGGCCCGCGGGAAGAAGTGGAGACCAGTAGACCCAATTGTTTGGATGCCTCTAGTTCAGTTTCATCAAACTCAGCATATATAGCTACCCATCGCAGCTGGATTGGATTGTTTGATGAAATCCATCGATGGAATAAGGCCATATTGTTTCGTTTAGCTTTAAAAAATAATATTGACTAAATATTAGCCGCTAACGACCTGCGGTAAGTAGGTGGAGAGACAGCTGTGCTATTTATATCGCACGCGGTGGGAAGGAGACTTAATTATAGCAACGAACTCCTGGCCATTGTTCGACATAGTTGGCCCAGGATCTAGCGCCGTCCCTGGTCAGCTGGTAAGGGAACACCCGGTAGCCGATCAACAGCTGTGGATGGATAACCCAACGGATCTTGACGAAGATCGGACTATCGACGCTTCAAGGACGCCAAATATTATTATTAGTACACAAGATTAAAGACATAGATCGGTGACATTACATTTATTTATAATGGTGGATAAATGGTTTACTATAGATATTTATAAAAAGGAAAGTACATAAATTATATAGGTCGAAGTTTCGGTCTAATTTTTATACCTTCATCAAAGCTGAGATACAAGATAATAACGTTATGATATCAAGAATGTGAAATAAAACTAAAAAAAAAACTATTTTTAATGTTGCTTAGTTAGGTGGGTCTTTTTAGCAATACCGTATATTTGTATTGAGTATGTCCATATGGGTTTAAGTAAGAATGTATATCTATTCAGTTTCTGTCTTTTACTTTTAAGTTTTACTTTTGAGGATTGTGTAAAAAGATGGTAAAGTAGTTTGAGCCGTTTGTTAAGTTTCTTACGTTTCATAGTATATTTATTCATTTTATTCATGTAATATAAATGATATAATAAAATGTTAATAGAAAATAGTAAGATGCAGCAAAATCTAGAGAAACTTACCGTAAACATAGAAATGAATCGAAATATTGAATCATTATTATTATTATTATTATTAATAATTGGTAATTGGTTGACTGTCGTGGATAATGAAGAGAAGAATAGTTGGGGTGTTCAGTCAAAAAGGAAGACAAAAATAAATGATAATATTTATTTTTTACATATGCCGACGTTTCGACCTGAAGTTCAGGCCTTCATCATGGCTAAGAAAATAACCAGATAACAAGGTATGAGAAACATAAGTAATGATGGTAAAAAAGATAATAAAAAATAAAAAAATAAAATAAAAAAATTAGAAAAATAAAATAGATAAATATAAAGTAAAATGAAATTGTTAGAATAATGACTAAGAACTAAGAGATAAATAATAAAAACCGTTACAAGGTGTAGAATGATGAAGTAGGCATAATCAAAAAGGGGTGACAAAAGTGTTACAATGGGAATCTTAGAATAAAATGTGAAACATAAAAAAGAAATATAAAGTTATATAAGAAATAAAAATAAATAGTAAAATTAAAACATTGAGAATGGAGTAGTTAGATATTTTCTATTTTCATATATTTTCAATTTTCTATCTAACTACTCCATTCTCAATGTTTTAATTTTACTATTTATTTTCATTTCTTATATAACTTTATATTTCTTTTTTATGTTTTACATTTTATTCTAAGATTCCCATTGTAACACTTTTGTCACCCCTTTTTGATTATGCCTACTTCATCATTCCACACTTTGTAACGGTTTTTATTATTTATCTCTTAGTTCTTAGTCATTATTCTAACAATTTCATTTTACTTTATATTTATCTATTTTATTTTTTTATTTTTATTATGTTTTTTATCATCATTACTTATGTTTCTCATACCTTGTTATCTGGTTATATTCTTAGCCCTCATGAAGGCCAGAACTTTAGGTCGAAACGTCGCCATATGTAAAAAATAAATATTATCATTTATTTTTGCCTTCCTTTTTGACTGAACACCCCAACTATTCCTCTATTCATTATTATTATTATTATTACTATTATAAATTATCATGGGTAGTAAATATTCAGAACGCAGTTTCTTTTAAAAATTTTGCCAACGTTTCAACCGAAACATGTAGGTCATCTTCAGGACGTGGTTTGAGCAAATATAGTTTTTATAGTAGGCACAAATAAAAAATTAAATTTTTTTTTTAAAAAATAATGCACCCTGAATATTTATCACCCATGATATGTAGAACAGTCGCCTAGCTTTCTTCAATATTATAAATTAAATTCTATTATATATTGTTTTTTTAACTGCTCTTTCGCTGTCTTATATATTTTCTTTTAGACTTTTTGCCATGTCCAATATTGTCATAACAGTCTTGAGTAATGTGTATCATTGTCCTTTGGACGTCGCAGCTCTCGCAGGTCGGAGGATCAAGTTCTCTTAGAGCCAGGCGTGCAAGAATTCACTATATCCAATCCTTAATCCTCAGAGGGCCTGTCTCTTTCCTAGAGGATCGATGAGAGATCTCCCTCCAAATTCCCAATTCCAAACAGTGGGTTTTTAATTTCCTTTAATTTAGGTTATTTTTGTTCCCACTTGTTTTGCAGCATTTTAAACACATTCTACACGCTTTAGTTCAAACTTCGTCTGATAACCGTTAGAGATGACGCCACCTACACATCTCTTCTCTCTCCCCCTCCCTTGCAACGACTTTTATTCTCCCTGCAACACTTAAGGAGACAGGTAGTACTTGTTTTATTTATTTCTTATTTCAGCTTTCTCAATTTCTTCCCTCCTTCCTTTCATTCCTTTTCTCTGTTTTTAACTCTTTATTATATTATACATTGTCTGTACATCTTGATAGACTTTACAATATCTCAACTTTCTATCTAACTACTCCATTCTCAATGTTTTAATTTTACTATTTATTTTCATTTCTTATATAACTTCGTATTTCTTTTTTATGTTTTACATTTTATTCTAAGATTGCCATTGTAACACTTATGTCACCCTTTTTGATTATGCTTACTTCATCATTCCACACTTTGTAACGGTTATTATTATTTATCTCTTAGTTCTCAGTCATTATTATAACGATTTCATTTTACTTTATATTTATTTATTTTATTTTTTTAGGTTTAATT